CACTGGAGCGCGCTAGAACTGGAGCGTAGAAGTAGAGTAGTTTCCCTTTCGGCCTGCGTGCCATATTATGCATTGTGTTTCAATGGATATTAGTTAGACAGCCTGTGCACCTGGGTTCTCTAGCCCAGGTGTGGCATAGCACCCCGTACACTTATGATATACTTTGGGATGTAATGAGATATTACCTTTATTATATAAGCTTAAAATGTCTTGAAAATCTGGGGTGTTACAGCTTGGCCAAACGGGCTTCGGAGAGTATAATTTCCTTGCCGCGGACCTTGGTGGCGATTTCTAGCTTATCACCCCGTTTGGTGGCCACTAGGTGTTGATAGAATTCTTTCACCAATTCGGGGTACGTATCCCCCTTGATGGTGAGATACGTATCCAAATGCCCTTGGTGGTTAAGCATATCAACCAATTCCGGAGAAAATTGGTCGGGTTCAAGGGCTTTACCTCCGATCACGGTGTAACCGATGTTGCTCCATTCCGATGTACGGGTCCCGAGGGGTTTCTTTGGCATTGTGAAGCTTCACTTGACGGCGAATTTTCCGGCGATTTTTCCGGCGAGGCTGCGGCGGGGCTCCGGTGCTTTTCCGATGGTGCGACTTTCTTCGTTGCGAGGGAGGCGGCGGCGACTGGGCTCCGGTGTCGGCTTGGCGAGGTGGAGTGGCGGCCCTTGATGGCGTCGGACGGTGGTGGCAGCGGGTGGAGTTCGGGTAGGTGGCGGGCGGCGCTGGCGTTGCGGGTGTTCTCCGGCGGCGAGGGCGGCGTACGGCGGGGCGTGGTCTGGGCGGTGGACGGTGGTCCTGGGTCTCGGCGTGGGGGAAGGGCGGTGAGGTGAGTGGGAGGGGAAGGAGAGAAAGTGAGGAAGAGGAAGAAGAAGAAGAAGAAGAAGAAGAAGAAGAAGAAGAAGAAGGGTTTTTGATTTGGGGATTTTTGTGGGTTTAGGGACTTGTAGGGCTTTAAGAAGAAAGTGTTCCCTTGAGGTTTCAAGAAACACTCTTAGTTTAGTAGTCAAGACCTTGGTCTTGTATATGGGAGGTTAAGGGTTCAATTCCTATTAGCAATACTAGGTTTTTTATGGTTTGGTCCTTTGTCTTTTTCCCACTTTCGTCCTCTAGTGGTGGGAGGCTTGTCTCGTAGTATAATTTTGGTTTCATCTTTGTACGTAGGATCGGATTTCGATCTAATCTTTTATTTATAAAAATTCCGAAGTAATTGAGCTAAGTAAGTAGTTTTACTACGAAGGTGATTACAAGGAATTTGCCGGTTTATCCTAGACAGAATTCGTCTTCTTGGTTTTCTTCCGCGGGGTTTGCGCGATCCTCGTCTTCTGGGGTTAGGTTCCCCTCCTCGAGATTGCCCTCGTTCCCGAGGTTGGCCTGGGTGCGGCTCATGACGAATATTTTCCCAGGAGCGCCGTAGTTTCCTTGGTGGGTGGTGCCCCCGTGTTAACCCATGGTGGTGGGGCGTGGCCTTTGGGGTTGAGTGCACTGGAAGGCCTTGTGCCCCTCTTCACCGCAGTTGAAGCATCGCCAGGGATTGCCCATGCAGTCTTTACCTCTATGGCTTTTGTTGCATTTCGGGCAAGGGAAGCTCCTTGTGTTAGCTCCGTTGTTCCCTAGGGGCGGCCTTTGGTTGGTCAGATTGCTCGGTCTTGTGTTGGTGTCGTTTCTCGTCCTTTTCACCGGTGGCGCTCCACCCCCGGTGTTTCTCTTACGTATCTGTTCCTGAACCCCACGTTGGAGTAGTTGGATTCGATAGAGATTTGCGGCACTGGAGTAAGCCTCGTTGAGGGTCCGAGGTCTACTTACTACTAGTGTTTTTCGGGCTTCGAAGTTGAGGCCTGATACGAATCTCTCTATTTTGGTCACCTCGGTGGGGACTAGTTCTGGCGCGAAGCGTGCTAGTTCGAGGAATCGTTTATGGTATTCCATGACGGTAGTTGTCCCTTGTTTCAAATGGAGGAACTCTTCGTACATGGATGCTTTTACGTGTGTTGGGTAGAATCGTTCTCGTAGTCGCTTTTGAGGTTTTCCCAGTTGAACCCTGGTTCTTGTTGGTAAGCGGGCCCCTCGTGGATCCACCAGAGATCGGCCTCGTGTCCGAAGTAGAACGAGGCTATCTCCACGCGACGTTCTTCTGGGCATTCCACTAGCCCTAGAATTTTATCGAGGGTCCGGATCCATTCTTCCAGGATCACGGGGTCCACTTCTCCTGAGAACGTGGGTGGTCGGTGGTTTGAAACTTGTCGGGCGACGTCTGAGTTCGCGTTTGATGGAGGAGGCGGGGGCCTGTTGTTGCGAAGAGCTACGTCGCTTAGTGCCTGGGCGACTTGCGTTAGTTATTGTAGTGTTTGGGTCAGGGGGTCGTGTGCGGCGGGTTCTGGAGTCCTTGATTGTCTTCTGTTTGGTGCCATGCTGTCGTCTTTCTGGGTCAATGTTTACAAGAACGTTAAATTAGAGCTTGGTGTTCTTCTTTCGATGTGATAGGCGGGGAAAAGTTTCTTTAGATAGGGGAGGGATAAAGTGAGGGGGGTTATGTGTAGGTTTCACAGTCTCACCGCGCGTCCTAGGATTCCTGAATCCTATGTCCCTAAGTACCTAAAGTTCAAGTCTATGTCCTAAGGTCTGCCTTAGCAGTCTTATCCTAGGGTCAAACTTAGGCTCTGATACCAACTATAACACCCCAAAATTTTGAAACTTTTGAAGCTTATATAATAAAGGTGAAATCTCATTAATTCCCAAACATAACATGAAGAGTACCGGGTGCTATGCCACACCTGAGCTAGAGAACTCAGGTGCACATGCTAACTAACTATTATCCTCAATAATGTAAATACATAATCATTGCACGCAGGCCGAAAGGGAAATTAACTACTTCTATGCTTCAAGGTTCTAGCGCGCTCCAGTGTCTACTCTTCTCTGCCTGAAAGCCAAATATATCTGTTCAGCGAGAGATGCTGGTAACCCACTCCAACGCGTTGAAATACAATACATATAGATATATACATAGATATACGAAAACCATTTCGAAGCATGAAGGGATATCCTAAGAGACTCTAGCTTTCAAAATAGGGAATAGACTCGACAGATAGGGATAAGCACATTCAACAGTTATACCAAGCATATACAGTTTTCCAGCATGGAGAACAGGCACGATAGATAGAGACAAGCACATAACCAAGCATATACAGTTGCTAGCATAAATCCTATAGTCACGTTCTCAAAACACACATAACAACATCTTATCCATATCTCCTCACATAAGCACACTTTGTTGGCGCCACAGGACCAATCGCATGCCCATACATGAGGGTCAGCGCATATAGCTCTGACACGGCCCCGCAGCACCCTGCCCCGTATCGCAACACGGGGGGGTCGATCGCAACCGACCGATGAACCGCAGCTCATCATAGTTTGATCGCAACCAAACAGTGGACCGCAGCCCAAGAGTATGTCATCTGACCGCAGCCATGAAATATGAACCGCAGCTCATGTAAAACGTTTGATCGCAACCAAACGGTGGACCGCAGCCCGAGAGTGTAAATCTGACCGCAGCCAGCTTCTGAACCGCAGCTCAGGAATAACCAATCCGATCGCAACCGGATTGGGGTATCATGCACACATAACACATAGCAAGCACATCCAACCCACATTAACACATTAGGAAGGGGGAGAAAACGTATAACAAAACCTATGCGTGATCCTTCACATGCTAAGAATAATCCTAAGGGGTGCATACTTCTCTTACCTAGGTCAACGGGATACCAATTCAACTAGCATGCGATATATAAGACTCATACAACCTACGAACGGTACCCGAAATATCAAACTAGACATAGGCACAATAGACGGAGTCCGTTGGGACACCCCGGGGGTCGGGGGAACATCAAACGGGGAAGCCGAAATCCCGATGTGGGGTATTTTCCAGAGGGTAGCCGGTGGGTGAGGGTTCACCCGCCGGCTGCCCGCCGGTGGCGTGATTCCGGGCAGCGGGTGCCCGGCGGGCAGCTGCCCGCTGCCGGTGTTGCCCATGTTGGCCGCGGGTAGGTGGCGGGTCCCCTACCCCCCACTGACTCCTTTTCACCAAAAACGCCCCAGGAACCTTTGTGGTACCCGGAACCATGCTTAGACACTTTCAAACGCAATTGACAACAATACGTAGACAATTAATGGATTCAAACGCAAGAACATACGGCACATAACCTATCATGCTTTTCTAAACATAATCAACACCCAAACATACGAATTCCCACCCAATATACCAAGAACAATACCATACGAGTTCCACGATACAACCTAGGGTTCTAATTACTTTTAAATCAACAAGAACACAATTCATCTTCTAATATCAAGATTCGGTAGGAATATCACATAAACATCAAGAACATCATATAATCATCAAGAACACCATATAATCACCAAGAACCTCTTAATACCTTCAAGATCATCAAGATCACCCATGGAATCATAACACCAATTACCAAGATCAATATAACGAATCATCAACACACAAGAATATGGGGGAAATCCTAAGAGGGGAATCATAGCTATGAAAATAGGTTTTGTTGAGACATGGGTTACCTCTTAGCCTTAATTAATTCCTTGGCTATGAAGGGTCTTTCTTTAAGCTTTCTTCCTTCTTGATTCCTCCTAGGGGAATTCTTGGAATTCTTGGTGTGGTGAGAGATTATTGTGGTGGGGGGGTTCTAGGTGCCTCCTATGTTCCCTATTTATATATCTAAGAGTCTTACTTAGGGTCCAAATACTATAAGCTTGCTAACTCTATTCCTTTTAGGACTAGGGGTTGGGTTTAGAGATGAGGGCCCACGGACTATGGTGGGTCTTTTCCTAATTAATTATTGTAATTTAATTCTTTCTTTTGGGCAATTGATTAATTGGTTTTAGCCTTTTAGGGGTCGTAACACGGGATGTTACACCGAAAAACCCTCTTTAGGAGACTCCAATGATCATCTGTGGGAGAATGCATAAACTGACACAACCTGTTAACTGAATACGCTAGATCTGGACGACTGATGGTGAGGTACTGCAGAGCCCCAACAATGCGACGGTACTGCATGGGATTCTCGAACGGATCGGTTGACGGAGTTGCCGGTTGAGTAACCAAAGCCGATGTAGCCAAGGCCTTGCAATTCGTCATGCCAGAGCGGGATAGAATATCTTGCATATACCGGCGCTGAGAGAGCTGAAAACTGTCGCCAATTGTGAGAGCCTCGATCCCTAGAAAGAAGCTTGGTGTCCCCAAATCTTGGATCTTGAAAGTCGTGGCTAATCGGTGTAGTAAGGTGGTAACCAAGCCCGTATCATTGCCCATCATTATAATGTCGTCGACATAGACTAAGAGAAAAACGCGTGAATCTCCAGAAGTATAGTGAAAAAGTGAGACATCGGTTTTGGATGCCAAGAACCCTGTGGAGATCAAAAAATCATGCAGCCGTTTGAACCAAGCATGTGGCGCTTGTTTTAGTCCGTATAGCGACCGTTGAAGATGACAGACATGATTCGGTCTAGCCGGGTCCTCATAGCCAGGTGGCTACTTCATATATACGGTTTTAGCAAGATGTCCATTTAAGAAAGCGTTGTGAACATCCAGTTGCCGTAGGGTCCACCTGTTAGAAATAGCAAGAGAAAAAAGTATGCGAACGGTGGTCGGTTTGACTACCGGACTGAAGGTGTCAAAGAAATCTTCACCCACAACCTAATTGAACCCTTTGGCTACTAGACGCGCCTTATTGCGCTCAACTGAACCATCGGCTTTGCGTTTGGTCCGAAAAACCCATTTGCAACCAATGATGTTCATGTGTGGCGTAGCCGGGGTGAGTTCCTAGGTGTTGTTATGTAATAGGGCATTGAATTCCTGATCCATGGCATCCCGCCACTGTGGGTGCCCTACGGCCTAAGAGTAAAAGGTCGGATCAACAGTCGCAATAAGAGCAAAAAACTCTTCATCATGACCTTGTGTCTTGTGCCGAGTGCGCATAGCATGCGGGACTTGAGGCTTGCCCTGGCCCCGGCCCCTACGAGCCCGAGCAGGTGGGCCCGTGGTGACACGAGTATCTGGTGGAGCTGTTATGGCCAGTGGGCCTGGTTCCTGCGCCGTAGGTAACTCCACGGCTAGGGGTGTTGATTGCGTGGCGACTACAACTGGCCCGGCTCCCCAGGGTGTTGTAGTAGGACTCACGGGAGTCTGAACAGATGCCTGTAGAGCAAAAGGAAAAATGGACTCATCAAACCGAACATGGCGGCAGATAAAGATCTTCCCCGTGATAGGGTCCATACACCGATATCCCCTAAAAGAGACTGGGTAACCTAGGAAGACACAGGGTGTTGACCGATACTCTATCTTGTGCCGATTGTAAGGCCGAAGATATGGGTAACAGCGACACCCGAATACATGAAAGAAGGTGTACGGAGGTTGTGTTTTATAGACACGATAATGTGGATTCTCATAGTTTATAGCGAAGGATGGTAGACAGTTGATTAAATAGGTGGCTGTTTCGAAGGCATAATCCCAATATATTTGTGGGGTTGAGCTTTCAGCTAGAAGTGTCAAGCCGGTTTCGACTATGTGTCTATTCCGACGTTCGACACAGCCGTTTTGTTCATGGGTATAGGCACACGATTGTCTGTGTGTAATGACTAGATTTTCGAAGACTTTATGGAGACGGCGGTATTCACCCCCTAAATCAGACTGTATGGCTTTGATAGAACGCGAAAAAGGTCGTTCTACCATCACCCGGAACACATCAAATATTTTATATATATCTGATTTTAACCGTAATGGGTAAAACCAACAATAACGCGAATGGTCATCTACAAATAGTACGAAATAACGAAAGCCAGTAGCACTAATTACAGGAGACGGACCCCAAATGTCCGTATATATCAAATCTAAAACATTATCACTAGTGCTTGAAACCCTATCTAAAGGAAAACGAGCTGATTTCCGGAGTTGGCACGCGGTACACAACTTTGACAAACTGGTTTTATTTGTAGTGACGGGACAGTGTTTTAAGGCGCGTTGTAGAGCTTGATTATGGGGGTGACCTAAACGTTGGAGCCACACTTCAGATGATGCTCGAGCGGTAAGAAAGGCACACGGAGATAGTGGGACCAATAACTTGTATAGGCCGCCGGAGGTGAAACCTTTAAGAAGAACCGCCCAAATGTTGCAATCTTTCACAAGAAACAAATTTTTGTGAAATTCAAAATAAACGTCATTGTCGTTAGTAAAACGATAAACTGACAATAATGGTAACGTTAAATTTGGAACCTGTAGGATTTTTGACATTGACAAACTTTTAGACCGAGATGGGATTACAGTATGCCCTACACGTGAAACATCCAAACCTGTACCATTTCCGATTTTGAAAACGTCCCCGCCAGTGTAGGCTTCGGAGTGGCCAATCATCTTATCATCCGGAGTCGCGTGAGACGTAGCCCCGGTATCCGGGTACCACACATCAGGTGTCACATGCGCCGAATTCTCGCCGGAGACTGCTACATTTGCGTGACCGGCCGGACGGTCATTGTACCACTTGTAGCAGTACACGACCGTGTGGCCGTGTGATCTACAAATTTGACATCTCGGACCGCCACCACGGCCCTGCCGACCCTGATTACCCCTGCCTCGATTCTGCCGGCCACCACGCCCACCGGAGTTACGACCCTGCGACTGCTCACCGCCGTGTCTGCCGCGTCCAGCATAGTACACTGCCGGAGAGTTGCTGCCACCTGCGGAATCTACGATGGCAAAGTCATCCTCATGGATGAATTCCTGCGCCTGGAGGAAGTCGGAGAGCTGCAACAACGAGACCTGCGCTCCAGAAACGGTGAGAGAATTGGCCATCGTACGGAACTCCGGTCTGAGCCCCCGGAGAACGTACAGAATCTGCTCGTCCGGCGAGATAGGCCTGCCGGTGAGGGAGAGAGCTTTCACGATCATTTGACACCTGCCCAGGTATTCGGCCGGAGATCCAGGACCTTGACGGAGAGTCTGAAATTGCCCGAGCAGGCTCAGGCAGCGAGCACGGGTGGAAGAGGTGCATAACCTCGTCGGATAACGATGAGACGATCGTGGAGAGGATCGTCTGGTCCTGCTGGATCCATGCTTCATACGCCGGGTTATCAGTGGTGGTGTTCTTCGTCGTGGTGGAGTCGCCGGTGGTGGAGGCAACAACGACGGTCGCCGGTGGATACGGAATCCGGCCGTAGACGTAGCCGAGTAAGCCCTGGCCGCGAAGGAACGGCACTATTTGAGTGCGCCAAAATAAATAGTTCCTCATCGTCAGCCTTATTGAAACAAAATGATGGGCCGCCGTGAGGGAGTTTACGGACGCCGGAGGTACGCCTAAGGTGGTGGTTATGGTGCGTTCACTGGACGAATAAGCCATCAGATTTTGCGGGGAGAGTGTATGGTGAAAAGAGGATCTAACCTTACGCTTCTGATACCAGATTAGATTACGAGAATGTGAAAACCAATTCAATTCAACTCAGAATGAGAGTCCTATACACAATACTCCTACTCTGTAGGCTATAGCTAATTAGACAAAGTCTCTACCACAAGTACAAACTATATAGTATAAAATAAATACAAACATTTATATTACTAACACTGCGCGACCTAACTACAAAGTTGTTGATCATAAATACAATTACACTTGTACTCTAAAACGGTAGGACCATTTTCCAAAGAATTGACAATGTTGACATTCCACTGGCTCCAATTGAACAAGTTTACACATCAGAATTTTATCAATGCATAAAAACGTTTAAAGAAATTTGTAAGTAATTTTTACTATATCATTATAACAATATCCATTGTAACTATATATTTTGAATTATTTATTATCATCCTTTATTGACAGGAATTGTAACAATTGTCATTGACAAACTCTCAAAACAATTTGTCTCAACAACGAATGTAAATTAAAAAAAAAAAATCAATGATTTCATTATTGTTGATAAAAAGTATGTATGCCACTTTATTACTCTTATTAAATTAAATAAATTAGTAGCTACAGCAAAAAATAATACATACGCATTTAATTAATTTAGAATTAGATGTCTATAATGTCTTTATTTAAAAAAATTATTCATTATAAAAAATTTAAAAGAAATATAATTTCATTAGTTATATTATCTTTATTTTCTACAATTCAAAGATTCATTACTTTCAAATTTATTAATTTATTATATTCACTATATTGTTCATTGTTCTTTTTACATTATCTTGTAATTAAATATTAAAGTTATAATACAAAATATGTTATATATATTTATTTACAAAGTATTTTATACAAATATAATAAATATTAATATTTTGTTCAATACTTTCACATGATAACCTACGACACACATCTCACAACGCATGAAACATGTGTAGGGAAAAACTACCACTGCCAAATATCAATAGGTGCTTGTAAGATAAAGAATTAATAGTACAACTAAGATCTTATCATATACACAAGAAGGCAAATCTAAAGCTTCCTACACCATCTCATTGCACGATGAATCCATCTATGCTACCACCAATAATCCAATTGCACATGATACACTACCAATTAAAAAAAAAAAAAAAAAAAAAAAAAAAAAAAAAAAAAAAACAAACATGTACTGAAGATGAAGACAATGACAATGCTACCCAAAAGAGATTAAAAAGAATTATAGAAATTTAAACCAAAAGTAGTATTTATTTGGACTATCATTTTTAGATTAAGTATTTAGACTAGCGTTATTACAAAGTTGCAAACATTTATTTTAGTGACAATATAATCAATCTCTCATATATTATCTGAGTTTTTTCCCAAAATGGTCCCTTGACTATCGCTCATTCTCAATTTTGCATTTCGACTTTTAATTGCACCCAATGTGGTCCCCTGACTTTTAAAAACTCCCCCAAATCGGTCCTCCGTTAGAAATTCCGTCTATTGAGTGTTAAAATGAAGGGCATTTTCGTCCGTTTACCTATTATATGCCTAATATACTCTGAAAAATAGTCGAGGGACCATTTTGGGAATAGTCGAGGGATCATTTTGGGAAAAACTCATTTATTTATTTCATTTTTGTTTATTTCTATTTTTTTAAGACTATCAAATTAGAATTTCTATACATTTTTTTTTCTTACAAATATAAATAGTTAAAATTCACAATCAAAAGTCAAAATTTTAAACTTTCTCTACAATTTTTTTCCTTCTATCTAAACATACCAACTTCCCTCTATTCCTATCAAGTTTTACAATAAGTTCCGTAAGTTTCAAAAATATAATACTCATATACTTTTTATGTTCACACACACACACACACACACACACA